AGTGTGAATAGTTGGACCCACTGACAATCTCTCCACCAGCTAATACAAATTACGTCACACGCAAATCTAGAATAATTAATTAAGGATTTAGGTTGACCAACCTTCCCCCCCACCCAGTTAAGTAACTTAATTGAGGATTCACGCATGCATCGCTATTATTATTGAAAGAATTGGATGCTCATGAGAGATTTTCCACTTAGCCTTTTTAGCCTTTAGTTGATTGATTTTTGTTCGCTTAATGCCTTTCACAAGTAATTTTCCAAGTCCAACAAGTACAACCATGAGTTAACATGCATGCATGTTGAGTGTCCCTTTTGATGGGGGGTTACTAGGTGCACACCCCCAATCATAACTCTAACCACACTTTTCTCTCATTTGCTACAGTGCACATGGCCTCACATGAGATTTTAAAAATTTAAAATCTCATGTGGGGCCCAGTGTACTGTAGCAAATGAGAGAGGGGGTGTGGTTGGAGTTATTGTTGGGGGTGTGCCCCTATCATTTTTCTTTGCAAAGATACACCAAAGAAGGCCGCTATCTGGAATTTTAATACATTTTTATATGATACTAAATATTTGTAAGTGTCTAAATATGCATATACTAAATTTGAAGCAAGTAGAGAGAGGAGAGTTTGCTTAGCATATGAAAACTGAAGTAGAAACGAGATGTTTATAGACTTAGGAAAATATAATTAATTTAAGTAGATGAGATAGAACATTAAACGCAATTAGCTATTGGAATTATGAAGTCCAAGAAAAACTTAATTAGTAATCGGAAATCCTCTTTGTTTAATAAAATGTAACTTTACGAGCCCAAGAATATCTAGTAGCTCAAGAAGATAATTAGAAGCTCGAGAAGAATATTCAGGAGTTCAAGAACGTATCTTGTATGGTTCTACCGTAAATTTTAGTCTACATGTAACTATCTTGAAATCTGTATTTTTAGATTTTTACTCAACAACAAGGAAGGAGATTGAATTATATAGGTGGTTTTAGATCAAAGCTGGGTTTTGATATTTTAGAATTAGTTCGGAGCAAAAACCCAGTGAATCGAGCATTTTCCGCAAAGTAAATAATATCACCGAAGATGCTTTGTTTCTCAAAAATCTTTTTTTTTTTTTAATTTAAAGATTTTCAAAAGTTCAGGCCTCTTATGTCGTGAGCAGGTTGGGCCTTAATTTTGCGTTGATGGGCCTCCATCGTCTCAAACTCTAGGCTTATTGTTACGCTTCCGTTTCCTTTTCTCTTTTGCAAGGAAAGAAAGATAGCACGCTTAAGGTTATTGTGAATATAAATAGTTAATCAAAATGAAACATAAAAGAGTTATTTTTATCGAGACAATGGAAATAGCAATTCCGTACAATTTCATTCTCCACAATGTAGGGCGGAAATATGGCACTCTATTTAAATAAGAAAAATTCTTTAAGGACCCAAAATATGGGACCAATAAAGAGGACAAGTGAGGTATCCCCCTCCTATTGGATAATGAGTTGGTCATCATTAATGATGGCCAACTCATTATCCAATAGGAGGGGGACACCTCACTTGTCCCCTTTATTGGTCCCGTATTTTGGGTCCCTGTAGCAAAGCTCTTTAAATAAATATAAGTAGTGGTGACGATCCTATGAACAAAAGAGCTAGTTCTTCTGAACAAAAGTAAACCATAAATGCTAATAAAGGAAATTATTAGGGACTTTTCAGAGCTACACTAATAAAAAGAGAACTGAAAAAAGAAGCTGCAAGAACTTATCGAGAATATTTACCGCGGGTCCAAACTAAAGATTCACGAAGACTGGGCAAACGAAAAACCAAAAAGTCTGCAAGGATTTCAGTGCATAATTTCAGTCACCCACATTATAGACTTCAATTTCTACCAACAAATACAGCTAGATTAATGGTCCTTAATGTTTCCACCCTTTAGAATATCTTGCCGGATTTAACTCCAATATATGGACCAATATGTTAAATAAATATGTATTTTGTGCTATCAATCAAGGTTAACTCATTAAAGTGATCTAATTTTGGGTTTGAGTTTTTAATGCATAATTAAAGTATGAGTCTTCTACGTGTAGAGACCAAAATATAATTATTAATTCTATGATGAGCTGAATTGATAATTATGAATAACTGATATCATGTATAAATAGGGTTGTGGTTACTCAAATCTATACGTACATTCTCTTTCTGATTTTCCATCTTCAGAAAGAATATGGTTTCTCTAAGAAGGATATACACGTAGAAGATTTGGAAGATCTACATCTCAAAACTTAAGAATCACATCATACTCCATAGATTCAGGTATGGTTCCGCTTCTTTTTAATTACCTCAATAGTTTGACATGAACAATCTTGAGATTGATTAAGGTTGCATCTCTTAAAGCAAAAGTTTATCTTTTCGTTATCTAACTATTGGTATCAGAGCGGCGTTCATGTAAATCTATTGAAACTCAATTTTAATTTGTGATGTGATTCTCTTGTACATTCCCAAATCTAGCAATACATCGTTAATTTGAGAAAATTTCAATTGGAAAATTTAGAAGAATTTGGTACGGTGTTGCTACAGTATCGACGGGAGAAAACTTTGCTACAGTGGCCTCGCCACAGTGCCGGCGAACAACACATATTTGCTACAGTACACACTAAGATTTTTCTACAGCATTAGAAATTTTTTTTAAGTGGGCTGCCGTTCCAACAGGCCCATTGTCATTAAAAAATTAAGTGGGACCCATAAAAAGCCCATTCATTTTAAAAAAATGAAAGGAAATAGGCGGGTTAAAAATGAAGTATTGTGCTTATTTTTAAAAAAATAAGGACAACCTGAAGCGTTGGGCTTACTTTTAAATTTTGGATTGTTATTATTACTGTTTTATTTTTTATTTTAAATAATGGCCCATTTGCATATATAATGTCTTTGGATCTGAACTTTAATTTTTTTTTTGTTTGGAATTTGGTTAGTTTTTTATTTATTTATTGAATTCAAAATTTTGGTATTAAAATTAATTAAAGTATATGACGTATTGAAAAGAATTGATTGAAACAAGATGTTACCAGAGTAGCATCTCTTATGCAGATCAATTTATTTTAAACATCAACATGATAGTGTGTATATGGTTCGTGCAAATATTAATCAACCCAAAGAAATGTTAATATTTAAATAAATCATATGCATACCCGTGGTGATAAATATAGATAATTATTTGGTTTTACATGTGAATAATAAATCGGCTTAAAAAAAGTTTATTGTTTGACATGTCTTATTGTCAATATTTGACCACTACACCAAGGGTATCACTTACAAATTAATATTTTATCCAAAGACTAAATATTAAAGTTGTGTTAAGTATTTTGAGATGTGTATCGCCAAATTTGTATTCATAAATTTTGATTTGGTTTCTTATGTGAGTTTTTTTATGTTGTTCTCTAATTCAGCTGTTAGTTTTGCTTCAAATATCACTACAAACATTAATTTCATTCATATGTTAAATGACACCAACTTCAAGTCATAGCAAGAGAATGTTATGATAGTTCTCGAAGTCATGGATCTTGACTTTGCGTTAAGGCTTCCTTCTCCTATATCTCTTACAGATACAAGTCTCATTGATGAGAAAAAGGACATGGAGATGTTGAAGAAATCAAATTGCATGTGTATAATGATCATGAAGAGGGTCATTCCAGAAAGCATTCAGGGGAACTAGGTTTGAGAAGATAACTACTGCCAAAGAGTTCCTTGAGGACATTGAGAAAATGTTTGCCAAGAATAAAAAGGCTATAACTAGTACACTTCTAGCAAATATTT